TCCGACAACGGGAGGCTTTTAACAGATGACGTCCTGATGTTAGCTTTGCTGCTGCTGTTAGCTGTTAGCTGTCCCTGTCAGCTGCAGCCACTGCTGCATTCTAGACATTGCGATTTCCCAAAACTGAATAAATACCACACATAGCAACACAAAACTGCTTTGCTAGCTCAATCATGTTGTAACTAAGATACCCGCTGGAAAAGATATTTTTTTCACAGACCATTTAATGAGTTATTACCTATTACAGACACTGCTAACGGCTAACAGGGCTAACAGCTAACGGTTAGCCCAGCTAAACGTGCACACAGAAATAGTAATGTTTGTTCAATCATCGTGTTTATAGACTTTACAAACATCGGATTAGTCCATACAGTGATACATACAGTGATGTGAAAAATGTGATATATATATATATATATAGCTAAAAGCTCTGCTGGTTTTCTACCCAGAAGTATTTGTAAACAACAACGCGATTCCCTCTATAGTCCTGCCGGATGGATGAGTCATGGCCTTGTAAAAGATTATGTTTGTTTCTTTTAGTTGGTGAGAATGTGTCGCCGCAAACGCGACAAACATCCACTGAACTTTGACGGCGTTTTCTGCGAGCACGGCTGAGCCATTTTGTACTGCTACACGTGTTTCTAGTCGGACTATGTTTACAAGCACAAGAGTTCAGCGAGCCACCGAAGGACCGCCCTGCAGATTTACTATTGGTTCTGCAACGTAGGGAGTTTTTTAAACTCTGAAATTGTATCCGCCCATCTAAACACAAAATCAGGGAGAAAGTCATCAGTCTTTAGTTAAGCAAAGTGTCTAAAGACTGACTTGTGAGTCTATTTTACACCTATTCGCCTCCAGAGAATGTTCCCAAACATTTCAAACCTGTGTTTTAAATGTAAAAAGCATAAAGGTACACTTATTCATTTATTTTGGTCATGTGACCGCATCAAGCCATTCTGGAATAGGATCCATTCAGTGATTCAGGAGGTTACTGGTAAACATTTCTCATTGATTGCTCCATTTTGTTTGTTAAGTCATATTCTGGACATTCTTTTTGACACAGATACTGAATCTCTGCTAATTATCCTTCTATTCTTGGCCAAGAAGTGTATTCTGCTACAATGGTCAACCCCCCAGGTCCCCATGACTGACATGTGGATATCACAAATATCAGCCCTTCTCCCCCTGGAAAAATTGACTCATGACCTCAATCACAAATCGGACAAATTCTGGAGAATTTGGAAGCCTATGCACTCCTTTTTACAGAGACTTTAAATGGCTCATCTCTAGAATGCTATGTCTGGCTTCTATATGTATTTGTACCCTTGCTTGTTTACTTGCTCCCTGTCATACTAATGTAAATTTGGTATAAACATTTTCGCTTTCTTCTCTTTTATTTTGATTGTTTCTCTGCAGCGCCTGTTGTTGTTAGTTTGGGGTGGGAACTTTCTGTTCTGTATGTCTTTTGGTTAATGTTTGTTGACTATTTGTGTGTTAAATTGAAAATTCAATAAAAATAAAATAAAAAAAAACAAATAAAAACTGGTTTGATACAGATTGTAAAATGATTAGAAAAAACCTTAGAATGCTATCAAACCAAAACCACAGAGACCCCCACAATGCTGATCTACGCATTCTTTACTGTGAGACCCTAAAACTCTACAAACATACACTCAGACTCAAAAAACAACAATATAACAAACAGCAACTGACAATAATTGAAGAGACAATCAACACAAACAACTTCTGGCAACATTGGAAAAACCTAAACAAACCTCAACTGTATCACACTGTTCACATTAATGCAAACACAGAACAATGTCAAATTCACGAGAAGATAACTAAATTAGAACTAGCTATAAAAAATAATCAGAATCCATTAGACTCACCAATGACTGAGCAGGAACTCCTAAAGAAACTGCAGACCCTCAGATCTAAAAAAGCTTGTGGGCCTGATGGCATCCTGAATGCTAAAAACATGGACAAAAAATTCCAACTGGCCATATTCAAACTATTCAATTTGGTTCTGAGTGTAGGTTTTTTTTCCTGAGATCTGAAATCTCGGATTTATAACCCCAATCTATAAAAACGGAGACAATTTGACCCTAATAATTATCGAGGCATCTGTGTGAACAGTAATCTGGAGAAGGTTTTCTGTAATATTATGAACACCAGACTTCCTTACCAAGGACAATGTCTTGAGCAAAAGCCAAATTGGATTCATACGAAAACAACGCACAACCAATCATATTTACACCCTACATACCCTAATTGATAAACATATAAACCAAAATAAAACCAAAATGTATGCCAGTTTTATTGACTTCCAAAAAGCTTTTGATTCTATTTGGCATGTTGGATTATTCTACAAAATCCTTGAGAGTGGTATAGGGGGTAAAACATATGATATTGTTAAATCAATGTATTCTGGCAATATGTGCAGCATAAAAATTGGTAAAATGAGGACAGAATACTTTACCCAAGGACGAGGCGTCCGTTAGGGTTGCAATCTCAGCCCTGGACTCTTCAATATCTATATAAATGAATTAGCAACTACCCTAGAAAAGTCCTTTGTACCTGGTGTAAGGATCCACAATCAGGAGGTGAAATGCCTACTCTTTGCAGATGACCTGGTTCTGCTGTCCCCGACAGCACAGGGTCTACAACAGAGCCTGGATCTGCTAGAGCATTACTGTCAGACCTGGGCCCTGACAGTAAACCCCAAAAAGACCAAAATAGTGATATTCCAAAAAAGATCCAGATCTCAGGACATTCTACTAAGTTCTCAATTGGTACACAACAGGTAGAATACTCCTCCGAGAACCGTCACCTTATCGTGGTGGAGGAGTTTGAGTGCCCTAATGACCCTAGGAGCTATGCTGTCGGGGGCATTTTGCCCCTGGTAGGGTTTCCCATGGCAGATTGGTTCTGGGCGAAGGGTCAGACGAAGAACGGTTCAAAAGACCCTTCATGATGGATACAAACAAGGACACGTGTACCCGGCCCGGAGGGTTACCGGGGCCCCGCCCTGGAGCCAGGCCTGGGGTTGGGGCCCGTGGGCGAGCGCCTGGTGGTCGGGCCTTTGCCCATGGGGTCCGGCCGGGCCCTGCCCAGCCCGACGGTTCTCAGACCCAACCAAACTACAAAACAGTTAAAACAAGACTACATCACCTATTGGCAAACACAAACAAAAACACAGAGCAAGATGCAGTGCTATGTGGCTCTAAATCGACACTGCACCACAACAGATTATTTGAGCATGGTGACTGATCAGCCACTAAAAGGAACCCTGACAAAGTACAGACTGAGTGAACACAGCCTTGCTAAAGAAACAGGGAGGCACAGGAAAACCTGGAGGCTGTGCTGTCACTGCAGCCTTAGTGACCCTGAGACAGAGTTACACTCCCTCACCAAATGTGAAAAATATAAACATATTAGAGAAACATATTTCCCAAAATTTGAATCCATAACAAAAGGTTTTTTTAAACTATCAGATGAGGACAAACTGCCTAACCTACTAGGGGAAGAATCAAAGAGTAGGAAATTAGCAGCAGTCTATGTTTCTGCCTGCCATAGACTGAGAGACAGAGAGTGACACACGTCAGCTGACACACATGTTTGTTGTTTTCTTCTTTGTTATTACTGTTAAATTGACAACAGACTACTTGTTTTAACTGTAGTCTATTACTTTACTACAGTTTTAATGACATTTTTTTAGATGACTCAAACTGATTGATTGATTGATTGTAATTAATTACTTATTGACTAAGATTGATTGATTGTGACTGTGATTGTGATTGAGTCAATCATAGTTACAGTATCACCAGCAGTATAGATAATAATTAATTTATTGTAAATATTGTTTTCCTTTATTGTTATTATTATTATTTTGAATTCCAAACATTTGCTTTGGCAATATGTACAGTGTTACATCATGCCAATAAAGCCATTTGAATTGAATTAAATTGAACTGAATTGATAGAGAGAGAGAGACAGAGAGAGAGAGAAATACAGACACAGACACAGACACACAGAGAGAGAGAGAGAGACAGACACACAGAGACAGACACAGACAGAGACACAGACAGACACAGACACAGAGAGAGAGAGAGACACACAGACACAGACACAGACACAGAGAGAGAGAGAGACACACAGACACAGACACAGACACAGAGAGAGAGAGAGACAGACAGACACACAGAGACAGACACAGACACAGAGAGAGAGAGAGACACACAGACATAGACAGAGAGAGAGAGAGAGAGAGAGACAGACACAGCGAGAGAGAGAGAGACACAGACACAGAGAAAGAGACAGAGAGAGACACAGACATAGACACAGAGAGAGAGAGAGACAGACACACAGAGACAGACACAGACACAGACAGAGACAGAGAGAGACACACAGACACAGACACAGAGAGAGAGAGAGAGACAGACACAGACAGAGACAGACACAGACACAGACACAGAGAGAGAGAGAGAGACAGACAGACACAGACAGACACAGACACAGAGAGAGAGAGAGAGACAGAGAGAGACACAGACACAGAGAGAGAGAGAGAGACAGACACAGACAGAGACAGACACAGACAGAGACAGACACAGACACAGACACAGAGAGAGAGAGAGAGAGAGAGACACAGACAGAGAGACAGAGACAGACAGATTCAGAGATGGAGACAGAGACAGTTGTCTGTTAGACACATTTTAATAATTCATATTCAGTTCATTAGAAAACTAGAGACAGGTTCAAAGATCTACAGGAGGACACAGACAGGAGGACACCGACAGGAGGACACAGACAGGGGTACACAAACAGGAGAACACAGACAGGAGGACAGACAGGAGGACACCGACAGGAGGACACCTACAGGAGGACACAGACAGGGGTACACAAACAGGAGAACACAGACAGGAGGACAGACAGGAGGACAGACAAGAGGACAGACAGGAGGACAGACAGGTAGACACAGACAGGACAGACAGGTGTCTCACAGTGCGGAAAGGCCCCAGTGGGACCCGGCTCTGTCCCCAGCTGTGGTGAAGACAGACAGTCCAATCAGTGAGACAGTGGGAGTGATGGTGAGGGGGCCGATGTAGTCCAGCAGCAGACCTGGTAACCCACAGAGACCGATGACCAGCTCCACCACACTGGACACCATGATGGCGCCCTGGATCTAAACAATCAAACAAACAGTCAGCCTCCAGGGGGGTATTCCATCAGCGTAGCTAAGAATATCCAGACTAAGGTGTCATCTTGAAGTTTGTCTAAACACCACCTCCCAATCTAACTCCAACCCGTTCCATCAAGTGAAATCAGCTGGCTCCAACTGATGCTAATTCAAGCCTCACCTGTTAAGCCTCAGCTCACACTAGTTGAGTGCCGAACATGTTGCAGAGTGTCAAAAAGCAAAGGAAAGGAGCGAACACAGGCTTTTTCTGTGGCGGAGCAAACGCTCCTTATGGAAGTGTATGAGGACTATAAGGACATGATTAGGAACAAAGGCAATACTGCAGATTAATAAAGCAAGGTTGGTGGCATGACGGAATATTGCTGACAGGCTAAATGTGTAAGTGACAAAGAAAATTCAGCATGTCAGCATAATATCATGTTCTATAAATCCTGCATCAAAGGGACAAAATATATGTAGATAAGAACACCTATTAAATCTGACAGTTCAGACCTGGTCCACACCTGGTGTCTCTGTGGAGCATTATCTGTCCCTCAGTGACGTCTGCTAGGTGGACAGGTGTTCCCTGGGGTCAGGTGAGTTCAGATGGTCCTCACAGTGCTGTCTCTGGGTGTTTCTCAAAGTCAAGGACGATACGTCATCGACCCGCTGAAGGACTGTTCCAATGTCAAGGATCCTTCTGAATTTCATGAAGGACTGAGTCTTTCTTTCAGAGAAATCTGAAGGATGCATGTGTGGATCCTCCGCGGGTATAAAATCCCCACAATGCTTTGCACACGATTTGCAGGAAGTGAGGGCGGGGCCTCTTCAATGAAACCTGCGGCAGCAGAGCTCGGCAGGATTTAGATTAATATGTCATTTAGGATTAATGTCTCCACCTGAGTTTATCAGACAGAAACCTCATTATTTACACGTTCCAATGTGTCCACTGCCACATGATAAGGTTTATTAAATAACATGATTTAGATGGAGTGTCTCCAGTTTACATTTTGGTATGATAGACTTTGGGTCCCCCCTGAAATTGAAAATAGTCAAAATTGAGGCTTCTCCAAAAGGCACAGTGTCTGCCTTATCACATGAATCTCAGGAAATAATGATCAGAATGTAATGAAACTTGGACTGAATGTTCACAGACAGTTGCTGCACACGATGCAGCAAAAATTTCATCAGTACCTTGCTCCTTTTAAAAAATATATACACCTAAACACACATGAATTACAGGCGGACATGGAATAAGGAATAAAAAATCCAGAAGGCATGTATATATGTGTTTGCCATTATTAATGTAAATAAGCCAATTACCCCAAAATTGCATTTATATGTGCCAAAGAATGTTATCTTATCATAAAAGTAGGTTATTAGATTATTCACCTCACCATGTGATGTCACCAGCCCCTGACAGGTAACTAGTGCAGCCAGAACTTCAGCCAGACAAATAGAATGGGGCCCTATTAGTCCAGGGGCTAAAGGGATCGTTTTCACAACTTGGTAGGCCCCTATCACCCACAGGGACCAAACAATTCTGGCATTTTTATCACTCTACAGGTCTCTAGTTTATATTTTGGTATGATAGCCCTGCCTATCTAGTAATTTAATTACAGTTATCACTCTGTAAACAAACTTACACCCGTGTAGGCAAAATACTACATTTGAATAGGGAACACTATTTAAGATGCTAATCTCTATAAAATGTCATTTGTAAGTACCAAATAATGTCATGTTTTCATAATAGTGGGTTATTAGACTATTCACTTCACCCTCTGATGCCACCAGCACTTAACAGGTATAGTGAAGCCAGCACACAACAGACCTATTAGCATTACACAGAATCCTTACATATTTATATTTATGTATTATGCTGAAGTGAGGTGAATAGTCATACATTATGCATGATTTTTTAGCATAGGTTTTGAGTCTCAGTAGGGTATTACAGTGATAGGGTCACGTGGCCCAATCCAAACACTATAATATTAAAAATATATGGGAATAGCATTCATGCAGTAATAGAAAGTTATTATTTCAATACTTTAGTGTCATATATATCAATAAACTTGTTTTATCATGTCAAACTGGTATCATGTCTGATTTGTTTTTCACATGTCAGAATGTTAGAAAGTGGCTCATGCACAGAATGTTTATAGATTTTGACAGTTTGACAAGTTTTCAGTTGGTTACAGTTGGTTCACTTGGTTATAGCTGCTTAAAAACTGCAGCAGCAACGTCACAACAATTCAACATCATTTCCAGATTGAAATGTAAGTAGCTACAATATATTTTCTCTTCTGCTCATGAAGTGATTGGAAATAGAACCCTATTATGCCTATTGCTGTACCTGTAACAGTAGCTAAAATTGGGGGGGTCACATTTTTGTTTTTGTGGTGTTTAACTGTGCTGTCACTAGTATGTACTGTATGTATGTAATTGTCTGTATGTAGAGATGCCCTCTCCCGGAACTGCAACCAAGTCTACCTTCGGGTATTAATAAAGTTACCTTGAACCTTGAACCTTGAAATGATGTTACTAGGCGTTGGACTCTTGGTGACAGATTGACACATTTCTTTTTACCAGTCAGCATTGTCTTCAGGAATAGGCGCTCACAAGGCTAACTGATCAGGATTAAAAAGTGAGATAAGATAAAAGACCACTAAAATGCCATTTTAAAAACCTGTTATGAGCATGGTTCAAGGGCCATGTATGATAAATAAATAAGTAAATAAATCAATAAGTTCAAGTCAGGTCCAATTTCCAATAAATAGAAATAAATAAGGAAGACCTTAAAAGTGCACTAAGACCTGTTTAAAATTGAGACAGCAGCAGGAACAAAGCTGTTCCTATGACGTGTGGTCTTAAACCGTGGGACTTTGAATCTCCGTCCAGATGGCAGAGGCTGGAACTCACATGAAAGGGGATGGAAATCATCACTTGAAATGGAGCTGGCTATCCACTGTAACTGTCTGGTGTACAGTGATTCCAGGCACAGCTGTGGCTCCCCGATCAACCGACCTGACCATTTTATGAGGTTCAGTGAGTTCCTTTCTTTCAGGGACAGGTTTCCGAACCATGAAACAAGACAAAAAGATAAAACCGACTCAATAAAAGCATGATAAAAAAGTGTCATTAGGGTTTTATCAATGTGGAAATGGGACAGCTTCCTCAAACAAAACAAATACTGATGTCCCTTCCTGCTCATAGCTTTACAATTTTCTTTAAAATTCAGTTTGGTCACCCCCCCTCGTGGCCCAGTTGTTGAAAAATGCATGCTAAAGTGCCCTCCTGGGAGCCGAAACGCTCGCTAAAGTGCCCTCTTGGGAGCCGAAACGCTCGCTAAAGTGTCCTCCTGGGAGCCAAAACACACTAAACTGCCCTCTTGGCTGGTTAAAACATGATAAACTGCCCTCTTGGGTGGGAAAAACGCTCGCTAAAGTGCCCTCTTGGGAGCCAAAACGTTCGCTAAAGTGCCCTCTTAGGTGGTTAAAACTTGATAAACTGCCCTCTTGGGTGGGAAAAACGCTCGCTACAGTGCCCTCCTGGGAGCCAAAACACACTAAACTGCCCTCTTGGCTGATTGAAACATGACAAACTGCCCTCTTGGGTGGGAAAAACGCTCGCTAAAGTGCCCTCTTGGGAGCCAAAACGCTCGCTAAAGTGCCCTCTTAGGTGGTTAAAACTTGATAAACTGCCCTCTTGGGTGGGAAAAACACTCGCTACAGTGCCCTCCTGGGAGCCAAAACACACTAAACTGCCCTCTTGGCTGGTTAAAACATGACAAACTGCCCTCTTGGGTGGGAAAAACGCTCGCTAAAGTGCCCTCTTGGGAGCCAAAACGTTCGCTAAAGTGCCCTCTTAGGTGGTTAAAACTTGATAAACTGCCCTCTTGGGTGGGAAAAACACTCGCTACAGTGCCCTCCTGGGAGCCAAAACACACTAAACTGCCCTCTTGGCTGATTGAAACATGACAAACTGCCCTCTTGGGTGGGAAAAACGCTCGCTAAAGTGCCCTCTTGGGAGCCAAAACGCTCGCTAAAGTGCCCTCTTAGGTGGTTAAAACTTGATAAACTGCCCTCTTGGGTGGGAAAAACACTCGCTACAGTGCCCTCCTGGGAGCCAAAACACACTAAACTGCCCTCTTGGCTGGTTAAAACATGACAAACTGCCCTCTTGGGTGGGAAAAACGCTCGCTAAAGTGCCCTCTTGGGAGCCAAAACGCAACTGCTCTCTTGGGTGGAAAAACACACTAAAGGCCAGGAGACTATTAGGACCAAGAAATACTATGAAACATTACTGTTGCAATGACTTTTATGTTGGGCCCTTTTTCGATCTATATCGAGCCAGAACTATATCTCACAGAACGAGTTTGGATTAACTGGTGCTAATATGGTGTTAAAATGCACTAGAATACAGGAAATGGCATCTACTTAATTGAAAATGTTGGGGGGAGGACCCTCAGACCCCCCCAGGGATTTATTTCCTTCATACATCCATGTCTCTGTGTGTTCTTCACAGTTCAACGTTGAATCTACACAGTTCTCATGGATGCTGATCCTAACTATTAACTAACATGAGTAGTCTGTCTAGTTAGTCTGTTTTAAGACTATATAATGTGCCATTTGTGTAATATATAAACATGTCTAAAGTTCCCTCTTCAGTGGCGAGAACACGCTGTATGTGCCCTTTGTTTTTCTTTTCGCCTCTGCCCTTCAAAAAGTCTGTGCATGCCACTGACTCTGACCCTCTGTGTTCTGTTTGTAAAAAGTCTAAGATCCAGCCCACAAGATTTCGACTCAAGTTAAAATGTTCTAAAAGCCTCTGGATTAAAATGTCTGGTTGACTCGTGTTAAAAGCAGAGGAAAAATCAATGAATAAAAGCCGAGCGTGACACCCTCTCCCTTCCATATGTTTAAAAAGCAAGTTAAGAATGGTTAGTGTGGCATTCCTCAACTACTCTTTTGGGCCTGTAGGCGAACTGTAATTGATCACTTGCACAC